TGCTCCTAATCTGGGAGAACCGGGTTTCCTGGCTGGATGACCTTGGGCAAGCCACAATTCTGTCAGAGCTGTTCTCTCAAGGACAGTTCTGTCAAGAGCTCTCTCAGCCCCACCTACCTCACAGGGAGTCTGTTGTGGGGAGGGGAAGGGAAAGGAGTTTGTAAGCCGCTCTGAGACACCTTTGGGTAGTGAAGGGCGGGACATAAATCCAATCTCTTCTTCCTCTTTATTCCAAAATGCTCCAGAACCTCAGTTATTTTTTGTTTCTAGCTAAGGAGATAGATCCCATCAGCTTCTCTTTCTATCTGAATAGCAAGTTAATATGTGATGTCTCCCAGTTTTTTCTGTCAGAACCCCATACATACTCACTCCCAACAACACTCTTCAGGTGCAAGATTTGTTTATTGAGATATGCAGTTGATACAGGTGTAAGCAAACGTGTGTCAGAACTGGTGGGCATTGGCGCCAAGCCCACTATTATACCCACTTCAAACTACCCCCCCATGCCATGGTCCACGATGTGTGGTCTTTCCTCCCCCCCCCCACCTGCGAAGTACACAGAGTATCTATAGCAGCGCTCCTGGCAGTAAAGGCTTCAAGGACACTTCGTCTTCCTTCCTCGGGAGGCCACTTGGGAAATTGTTACAGGCATCTAGCAAAGCTCGTTCCCACACATTCCTTCCCCCAATCACTCACCCCCCCTCCAGCTCAAAGCGAAAGCATCACAGAGAACAGAAACCAAGATGGCAAATGAAGTACTGAGTTTGACAGTTTCATTTCCAAATTTTGATTCAACCGGTTATTATCCTATCACAGCCCCCTTCTTGATCAAAACAAAGTATTATGTCATTCCCGTAAATTGGAATGTATGTCCATTGGCTATGTAGCTTTCTGGTGTACAAACATGGAACTGCCTCTCATGAATCCTTCTCTGATGAGTACATTTCTTATTCCACACTCTGGCGGCTTGCTTTGGGCCATAAATACTCTTTTGGGTCCATGTAAATATCTTCTGTAATATCACCATACAAAGAGGAGAAGAAGAGGAGATTGGATCTATACCCTGCCCTTCACTACCCAAAGGAGTCTCAGAGCGGCTGACAAACTCCTTCCCCTTCCCCTCCCCCTCCCCACAACAGACACCCCCTGCGAGGTGGGTGGGGCTGAGAGAGCTCTTGACAGAAACGGCTCTTTTCCAAGGACAGCTCTTATCAGAACTATGGCTTGCCCAAGGTCATCCAGCCAGGTGCAAGTGGAGGAGGAGTGGGGAATCAAACCCGGGTCTCCCAGATTAGAGTCCGCACACTTAACCACTACACCAAAACTGGCTGTTTTGCAGTTTTTAAGTCTAAATGCATTCCCTTTCCAGCTGCTACGCTCAGTGAAGTTCTTATAGTGGGATACTTTACTACTGGAGCAAATGTCTCATTGTAATCCTCACCATATTTTTGGGAATAGCCTTTTGCAATGAGTTTTGCCATATACCTTTTCATTTTCCCCTCTGCATTAGATTTAATTTTGAATGCCCATTTGCATCCTATAGCGTTGCACCCAGGTGGCAACTTGGTGAGTGTCCACATCTCATTCTTGTGAAGGGATTGTACCTCTTCTGCTGCCGCCTCTCTCCATTTTCTGGCTGCACTTTTAGGCAACGTGGAGATACGCTGTCGAAGGCTTTCACGGCCAGGGTTCATTCGCGGTTGTAGATTTTCCGGGTTGTGTGGCCGTGGTCTTGGCATTTCGCCAGTAGCTGTGACTGGCATCCTCGGAGGTATGGCACAGAAAGATGGATCCACCCTGCCCTCTGGCTGCTCTCCCTTTCCCTGGGTGGGCTGGCTATGGCTGCCTCTGTGCGGCAGGCCCCAGGCCTGCACGCTGGACACGCCGGCCGGGGAGGAGGGTGAACAAACACCTGACCACAGGACTGGAACTGGCCCGGCATCCACCCTACCCTGCAGGCATCAGTTCCCCGTACTGGCCCTTCTGGCTTGGCTCAGCTCTTGGGCAGAAGGTCCCGGCTCAGGAGAAGGCAGCTCTGCAAATGACAGGTAGCCTATCTTGCAAGGTTGTTGGGTTGGGGGCATTTCAGAGTGGGGAGGGGGCATCGCCCCCAATGCCCCAATGCTGGCTACAGCCCTGCCCACGAGTATTCCTTCCGTGGCTCTATTGCCCAGCTTTGAGTGTTTTATTTATTTGTTTGTAAATTCAATTTATATACCACCCTTCCCTGAGTTCACAGAGCTCAGGGTGGTTGACAACAACAAAAAATACAATATAAACCAAAAACAAAGCAGTCAAATTTCACTGAAGAAGAGAACAGGCTCATCTAGAGATGGCACGGCGTCCAGGCTGCTGGTTGACATGGACAGAGAGGTCGCTGAAAAGCACCTGCCTGCACTGAATGAGTACAGATCCCCCGAGCGCTAGATGGCATGCACCCAAGGGTGCTCAAAGACCTTCCTAGAGAGCTTGCAGAGGACAGAGACGTGCCACAAGACTGGAGGAGGGCAGATGTTATCCCAGTTTTCACTAAAGCGAGGAGGGATGACCCAGGAAACTACAGGCCAGTCAGCCTGACCTCCGTCCCAGGGAAGAGACTGGAGCAGATTTGAAAGGGATCGATCTGCGAGCACCTAAAGGACAACTTGGTGATCCAGGGAAGTCAGCACAGATTTGTCCCCATTTCCTTCTCTGATCAAGTGACAAGCTTACTGAATCAAGGGAATGCTGTTGATGTTGTTTACCTGGATTTGAGTGACGCTTTTGACAGGGTTCCCCATGTTCTGATGGGTGAACTCAGGGGTCGTTTCGTAGAAAAAGAGCTAGGAGAACTCATTAGCATAACATCAGGGGCCCGGCGGTGGACCTGCAAGGCCGGCGGGAGTGCCAGGAAGCCCCGCGAAGGCCCTCCCTGGCCCCAGGCAGGCAGGGGTGGGGAGAGGCAGGGAGGAAGCAACCTACCCTCCCTCTTCTCCTGCCTCCTCCTGGCTGAATGAGGGCCGGAAGCGGGGCGGCCAGAAGCAGGGGGCGGGGCTTCGTCATGTGCCCCACCCCCCGTACCTCACCCGGGGGAACTGCGATCCCCCGCGATCCCCCCCCGAATCGACCTCTGGGTGAACTAGAGGACTGTGGACGGGACTCTACGACAGTTAGGTGGTTGGAGAAGCGCACTCCGAGAGTAGCTGTCGATGGCATTTCATGGGGATGGAGGGAGGTGTCCAGTGGGGGGTGCCACAGAGCTTCGTTCTGGGCCCGGTACTGGTCTTGTGCTCTTTGCTATCCTTTCACTTAGAAAGCTTCACAGTGGTATGTTTGTAAAGCAGTTACAATGAAGCTTTTTAAAAACTTCACCAGTGAAAGGGAAATAGAAGCATACGATTGGTCTGATAATAAATGCACAGACAGCAGGACATACCCACGCCTAATCTTGTGCCACCATCTTCCAAGAGGGCACAGGAAATCACATCACAGAACAACATGCTAAGAGAGCAATCCTAAGCAAGTCTACTCAGAATGTTGGTGTTGACAGAGTTGCAGCCAATTCATGGCAACCCCATTGTCAAGTTCAGGCATCTGACACCTGTGCTCACTGAATCGTTCTTCCCTGCCTTTCCTTCTTCCCTGCCTTTCACATTGTCTGTATCCGTATCACTGCCCTCGCTTGCCAGTGCGTTCCTGGGGGGTGGGGGGAGTGTGTGTGCCATGAGAGAAGTAGGTAGTTAGGGAGTATCGCTTGGTAATTTCCTGAAGAGGCCCCAAAGACATCTTTCACACGCAAATGTCCTTGGAGAAGACTGTGCATGGCTGAAGTAGATAGTGACTGTATATCTGTCGGGGTCGCTGTAGTGACACTGACGTAAGGGTGTTTGAGGGTTTTACCTATATCCCGCCTCTGCAAATCAGTCCTGACAATGACAAAGAGCTTGAACCCACAGCATCTCGTATCTCCAAATGAAGCATTCATTGCCAGAGTGTGTGTGGAGAGTGATTTGACTGGGAACCGGACACCCATAGAGTTTCAAGTGTGTGTGGATGGCTGGCTGTTGCCTGCCTCTGTGTAGCAACCCTGGACTTCCTGGGTGGTCTCCCATACAGATACCCACCAGGGCCAACCCTGCTTCGTTTCCAAGACCTGACAAGATCAGGCTAGACTTGGGGGGGGGGGCACTCAAAATCTGACTCAGGCCTGTTCCGTGGGGCTCACTCCCAGGAAAGATGTCCTTAGGACTGCAGTGTAATGTACCTGGTGGCTCTGTGTGGGAAAGAGGTCTATGAAATGTGCACGCTTCCAACAGAATGTGAACATGAACAGCTGCTTCAGTAAAAGGCCTCCTAGCCCAGTGGATCTCAGACTGCGACAGCCCAAGGACCCTCACTGTGATTTACATTTCTTTGCGGACCCTCTGGGAGTCTCCCCTTCTGGATCGGTGGGTGCCTGCCACATGCCAGGCAGTCCTTTCTCCAAGGGCCCCAAAGGCCCCCCTCCCCTCGTCCCTGGAACAGTGCGATGGGAACCTCCTCAGCTACACTTTAAAAGCCAGCTTAATTAAAGTGGTGTTGTGATTAAATAGTCAGACTAGGATATGGGAGGCCCAGGTCTGAATTCCCACCTTGTGCCAGGGAAGCGGGCAGGGTGGCCCTCGGGCCAGTCACACTCTCTCTCAGCCTAACCTACCTCACAGGGTTGTTGTGAGAATAAAATGTAGGAGAGGAGAATAATGTAATCCGCTTTGGATCCCCATTGGGGTGAAAGGCAGGATATAAATAAAGTAAGCAAACATTCTCTGCACGTGGCTTACTAGATCACGTCTCTCAGAGGGTAAGATTTGGACCAGGTTTTTAAAAATTCTTTATTCTTAATAAAATAAAGAAGCAGGCGGCAAGTGATGGTAACTGATGTTTAATTGTAAACTTCTGACTGGTTTTAATGGGACACATTGTCGTCTTCAGTGCTAGCACTTATCATTATGGTAACATCGGGGGGAAATGCTGACTTTTACCTTCACATGACAGGCCATGGGAAGTCACTCCAGACAGGCTCTCTCTGCATACGTTACAGAAGGTTGGTCGCGCATGGGAGCAGGCGTACCAGTTATGCATCCCTGAGAAATGTTCCACATTAAACTGTGCAGTCTAATGAAAGAAAAGTCGGGACAAGTTTGCAAATACAGAACACAGCTACAGAACCTACCACCAACCCATGTATTAAAAGGTTAGCATGCAGAAATGATACACAAACTATTAAAAGTTTAACTGACACATGCAGAGTTTTGTTTCAGAGTTTTTCATACAGCATAATTATTTCCTCCCATTTACTGCAGCTTGGAAAACGTGGAAAGATTTCAACAGAAAAGACAAGTTGTACCAACAGAAGCATTAATTTTACCTCATAATGTTCTCGGGACTGTACAGACTTCAGTGAGCTGATCCAATCCTCCATCTCTTTCCTGTTCTCTGCACACAATATCAGCCTCCTGAATGGAGTTATTACCTAGGAGAGATCTCTTGATGTCATTACACGGAATTTCTACAGGACAGTTCAGAACAGAATGCAAGAAGAGGAAGCTGCTTTACACCCAAAGTCAAAATGACCCTGGATTACCCCTCATATATTACAAAAACAAATCCGGGTAAAACGGGGAGGGTCATAAAGGTTTGTCTTGGCGATTCGCCAAGGCCTTCTGGCAATTTTGTATCACACTTTGAGAAGAGCCATTTCAAAATAAAATCTTTACTTTTTATACAGCCATACATGCATGATAAAGATAATAAAATACTTATGTGCGCACACACTTCTTTTTACATACGGATCAAATCCAAAAATAGCAAACGCGTTTTTGAATAAAATACTACAGCCAGTTTTTAAAAATAACAGGGCACAAATACTTCTATTAACTTCTGCTGAAATTATTTCAAAACATAATCAAGAAATGCCTATTTCAGAGGGTGGCAAAACCCACCCAAAGTATTCAGTTTCTTCTTGTAAGAAATACTTATTAACATTCCTCTCACCTCACAGCCATTTCCTCTGTGCAATTATGAAGGTAAATTATACCCTGTTTCTACAGATAACTATTTCAGAATTCATATTCCGTGTCATTTAAAGATAACTCAACAGGGCTTTTAACACGGAACATTTTAGGCCCATGCTCTATACCTCCCGAGAAACATACATTCATCTCTTTCTTACCAAATCGTCTCTGCTCTCTGTCTGCTCTCCGCAGTGCTTCTCCAAAGTGCACTTTAGTCTACCTAGCGCGGTTACCGAGTGCAGCTCACACGTTGTGTGGCAGAAACGTACATTCACAGGCATCTTTCATACATGCCAGCAGCTACGGGACGGAAGCCCCTCCCCCCACTTTGTGTTCCCTTTGGCACATCTGCCCGTTCCACACTTCAGGGCCATCCCTTACATTGTGGCACTACACAGAATGCCTTTGTTTCATTTCTTAAACCCATATTTGTGTTCAAGGGCCAGACTCACTATGGCACAGGAGCTCCACAAGGCTTTCCCCAGGACTGCTCCAGTGGAGGGGGCTCCTGCTGGACGTACATTTTCCATGATGAGGAGGAGGAGGAGGAGATTGGATTTATACCCCACGGCCCTTCACTACCCAAAGGAGTCTCAGAGCGGCTGACAAACTCCCTTTCCCTTCCCCTCCCCACCACAGACAGACACCCTCCTGTGAGGTAGGTGGGGATGAGAGAGCTCTTGACAGAGAAACGGCTCTTTTTCAAGGACAGCTCTTGTCAGAACTACAGCTTGCCCCAGGTCATCCAGCCAGGTGCGAGTGGAGGAGGAGTGGGGGATCAGACCCGGTTCTCCCAGATTAGGGTCCGCCTGCACTTCACCCACGACACCCACCTGGCTCTCCCCAGGTGCCAGGCAGGAATGAGCTTTGCAGGTCCTCGGGGGCACCCCTTCCCTCCTCTTCCCATTGGCATCGTGGGGCTCTGCTAGCAAACAAATGTGCTGGAATTCATTCTCACAGATCTCCCAGGTCACCTCTAGTTGAGTCCTCTCACGCCCACCCACTTCAGCACTAACGTTTCAGTAAACGTGCTGAAGGACTACTGCCTTAAGAGCTAACCAGTTGGAAGGAGCCCAGTTCATCTTTTAAGAACCCGTGAAAATCCTTTCCATAAATCAATTGGAGAAATGAATATTACTGGCCACTATCTGTGCTCTTCTCTGATATTTTTTCTACAACAGTCAGCTCTTCAAAAAAAAAAAAAACTATTTGCCAATGGTCTGTAGCCCCCAACAACAGTGGAGAACTTGGCTGAATGAACATTTTGGTCCAAATCCAAGCAAAATCAGTTACTCTTAAACTTACTATTAATTTCAGTGACCAAGGGGTATCTAGATTAACACCAGTCTTCTATATATTCATTTACAGAAACCTAATTCTCATCTGAAGAAGGGAATTCTCATCTGAAGAAGCAAGACAGAAGGAAAATTGACTCATCTGAGCTGTGGTGCTGGAGAAGGCTCCTGCGCATTCCCAGGACAGCGAAGGTGACAAACAAGCAAGTATTGGAGCGCATAAAACCAGACATGCCACTGGAAGGAAAAATCACAAAACTGCGACTGACTTATTTCAGCCACGTCACGCAGAAGAACTCACAAGAAAAAGCAAGTATGCTTGGATTGGTTAGCGGCAAAAGGAAACCTGGCCACCAAAGAACACGTTGGCCAGACACCACAAAAGTTGACACCAGTGTTCCCTCTAAGCTGAGTTAGAGTGAGCTGGCTCACAGTTTATTAGCCTCCGGCTCACACATTTCTGTCTTAACTCAGGAAAGAAGGCTCCAGAGCAAACTGATTTATGCAGCAGCCAAATCGCTCACTCACAACTTTAATGCTCGGAGCTCACAAAGTAGAATTTTTGCTCACAAGACTCCATGGCTTAGAGGGAACACTGGCTGACACCAGCCTGAGCATGGATCAACTCCAAGAAACAGGACAAGACTGGAAAACGTGGAGAGAGGCTGGCCCGCAGAATCGCCCTGAGTCAGACACAACAACAACAACGATTCTCATCTGGAGCTGCAGAAAGAGTGCCAGTAAAACGACTGCACACTAAACACAACAGAACCTTGTTGGTACTATTAATAAGGATCCTGTGGCACTGAATTCCGTGTGTTAATTATGTACAGATCTTTTTTTACCTGCAGAATCTACTGTCGATCAGTTTTACTGGGTGATCCAATCTGTGGTGTTATGGGAGAGGGAGGAAAAGAACTCCCCTCCCCGCACTTGCTGTACAGCACACGTAGTTCTGTAGACCATTATAATGTTCTCCCTTAGTTGTCTTTTTTCAAAATCAGAAATCCCTCAACTCTTGGCTTTTCCTTGCAGGGAAGATGTTCGGAACTGTTCATCGCGCTGGCTGCCCTTTTCCTCACCTTTCCCAGGTCTATGACATACTTTTTAAAGACGGGGTGACCAGAACAGTACACACCACACTACAGGTGTACAGCAAAGCACCACTATCTTGAAAAACTAATTAAATCTCAACTTCCCGCAGCTAGAAAACATCAAAACTGAGCCCAAGGTATGGGGAAATTGAAAGGAGCATGGGCGAACAAAAAACCACACACACGCACAAAAAACTTCTAAAGGCACAAGAGTGGAATCGAAATCCTCTGAGGGAGACTCCTCAAACCCCCCCCCACACACACACACACACTAGACATGGAGCTGGAAGACGCTGAAGAGGTACGTGTGGGGAAAAGGAAAAGAGAGAACTCTATTACAAAAAAGCAAATACAAGAAATGCTAACTGATTTAAAAACAGAAATCAAAGAAATATTAACACCTGTATTTAACAAAGCAGATGATTTGACAAACAAAGAAGTCGAAGGTACGGCAAATATGGCTCTTGGCGGAACCAAAAAAACCACTCAGGAATTAAATGTACTAAAAACATTTGAAACATGGGCAAAATCAAAGATAATGTTATTAGAAATTAAAGTAAGAGAGTGTAAATTAAAAGCTAGAGAAGTTTCGGTCAACTTTGAAATGAGCATAGAAGTAACTGCAGCTTTAAATCAATGGCTATCGGAACTCTTCCACTGACCAGGAACAATTGTAGTAAATGCCTATAGTCTTAACATGGCATGTGCTACTTCACCGGCATTAATCCCAGATGTGATTGCTGAAATCGTGGGAATTAAAACTTAAAAAATCATTTTGGACATGGCAAGGACAAATGGAGGTCTGAAACGAATAGACCCCACAGTCCCAAGTGTTTCCGGACTTGCCAGCTGAAATACTGAATATGCCAGACCCAATCTACGTCCGATAGCGCAACGGCTAAATGAAATGAAACAGCGATACAGGTGGGCTCCCACTTGGGCACTTATCAGGAACCTTTTGCGGGAAAATACTAACAGCCTGTGACACAAAGACTGGAGAAGAGCTCATGAAGGAAACAGAAGAGACACAACAGGAATGAAAAACTAAAGCAGGAAGAAACAAAAAGGACTTTGAAATAAGACTGGAGAAATTATCATAATTTTAATTATCTTGACAGACTTAAAGATATATAACAAGCTTTGAGAATGGTGGTGATGGTAGGTTTCCAGGGATTCCCCCTCCCCCAACCCTCCCAATGGGAGAGTCCACAGCACTTCTGCAGGAGGATGAACCCTGGGACACGGCAGAGACTCGTTCGGTGAACACGAACTCCGAGGATGTTCTTCTTGAGGACTTTTCCAAGAAATAAGATGTCGTGTAACTTGAACACCAACTTACTTTACTTGTAGTTTTTATATACAAACTAGATGTAAACGGAACAGATATATAGCTGATAATAATAAGCAGAATAGAAAAAACCTAAGATAGATAAGCCTCAATATACTAGTTTAAGTTTAATGGTTTACAATAGTTTAAACATTAGAAGATAAGTGAAATGAGAGTTTTTCAAGCTATGGAGGGACAAAAAACCCCTCAAGAAGCATGGTAGAGAGAGTAATAATCTTTCCAAGCCCATAGTGAAAAGAAATAGCAATGTTTAGATGACTGTGACTTGCCAAAGCAATGGGTTTGGACTGCCTGTAATAATCAAAGAAAAAGTGTTTAATGTAATGATTTCCTTTCAATTTATGAAACCTGTAATTGTTTCCTGTGCTTGAAAAAGAACAATAAAAAGAGAAATTTTTAAAAATGTACATAAAAGCATCACAACAGCATAGGCAGATTGCCTTTCCTTCCCTGCTGGGCAGTAATTTCAGCCTGCTCCCCATACAGAGAAGAAGATTCCAGGGCAGATGCTCACTCCCCCCTCACACAAATGCACACCCCATTTTATCCAGTGTTCTTGATTGCAGGGTGAGGCTCTTTATCTTCTCCCCCCACCACCACCACCACCACACAGAGCAGCTAGAAAGAAGGCATAAGACACCCCGGGCCCGATCACTGTGCTTCACCCATCCCCTAAGCATCCCGCAGCTTCTCTAAAGTTACATGAGAGGAAGGGATGCAATTCTGACTCCAGAAGAGGCAACACCTCCCCAGAGAAGAACAGCAGGGGGGAAGAAGCTCTTGCAGAGGAGGACCAAGAGAGCCCCTGAATTAAAAGCCCCGGCCCACGGCTGCCAGGGCTTTTGTCCGAGCCAGGAGCGTGCCGCCTCAGGGCAAGGCTGCTGAATCCCAGCTGCATGGGCACCTGCCCCCCCGAGAGCCACTGGGCCCCGCCCCACTCACCAGCGCAGCCACAGCCGCACACACACAGGGGAAGGGAAGAGGCCGGAGACACAGGAGCCCTCCGACCGGCACTGCGCCCCACTCACTCACTCACTCACTCTCGCGGGGAGGGGGCGACGTGAGGCAGACTGATGGCCTGGCCCTCTGGGTCCCCAGAGCAACTTGGGCCCCAGGAATCTGCACCCTACGCCCCCCCCCCCACACACTCTTCAAATAAATAAATAAATTAGACTTCTGGACTGTGAGACCCACATCTCCTCCTCCTCAACTACCTGCCTTCTGTGCTGGGGTGTTTTCTTTTGCCCCGTTTTGCACCGTGCTGGGGGTTTTCTCCCTTGACTTAGGGAGTCTGAAAATCCCCACCCACCAGAGAGGCAGTTGACATAACTCTCAAAAGTAAACAAAATGTGTGAGCCAACTGTTTCTGGCGGATCAGCGCATGCCAGGAAGACATTAGCAACATTTCTGAAGGTAAACAAGAACTCTAGGACCCTTAAAGCTTAAATCCTCTCAAACAGAAGAGGCACCATTCTAAGAACACGGAGGGAATTTCTACTCTAAGAACCTGGAAAATAAAGCAACGCAGAGAACAGCAAAAACCGTCCTTCAATGTTTCCGCAGCAGCCATAACTGGCAGCCCTACCGTGAAGCTGTTGTTGACATTTTTGGTGCTTGATTCAGCCACACTGGCATCTGACAGGTCGACTTCGTCAAAGATCAGAGACTGTGAGAAGAACACCAGACACGTTTCACTTCTGAGGGCATTTAATCCAAGAATTTGGAAGCATGTTAACTGCAAGTCCCTCAAACGTTACCTTTGTTTATTTACTACATTCTCAGACTGATTTTAGCCAAAATGGGCCCTCTACATGGAAAACTATTGCTAAACAAATAAACAAAGACAAGGATGTGTGATCTGTGGGCTCTCACATGGGTCCTTTCACTCCAGCCCATCCCTTCTATTCCCGTGGCTGTTGTTATGCACAGGGAAGTTGCCACAAGACCCTCTGGGTGAGTGGCAACCAAAAAATCTGAGAAATAAACACATAAAACTAAAATATGGCTGATTTATCTGCAAAATTATTTTCTCCCATCCAGTCCCGCTGGCTTCCTAAAATATAAAGCAGCCTCAGGTAGAGAGCTTTGGAAGGCCACATAGTAATGCTCTGGGTAACCTGAGGGGCTGTTAAATTACTTTTCCTATTTTGCATATATTCTCCTTTCCCTAATATACACATTTTACTATTATTCAAGCATGGCCTTGAGAGCAACTTTACAGATATCCTGGCTTTTGGAAAAGAAATAAATGGCATTTAGAATCATAGAATCATAGAGTTGGAAGGGACCTCCAGGGTCCTCTATTCCAACCCACTGCACAATGCAGGAAATTCACAAATATCTCCCCCCCACACACCCGCTGTTCCACACCCAGAAGATGACAAAGAACCCCCAGGATACCTGGCCAAACTGCTTCCTGACCCCAAAGTGGCAACCAGCATTTCCATGGGCGTGCAAGAAAGGGCCACAAGAACTAAGCACTGAGGCAACCCCTCCTGCCCTCCCTCTCATAATCTGCCTAGTTTCACACAATCAGCATTGCTGTCAGATGGCCATCTAGCCTCTGTTTGAAAAACTCCAAAGAAGGAGAGCAGAGTAAAGTTCCCTTTGCATGATCTGGACACTATACTTCTTCTAATACCACCCAAAATCGCAATTGCCTTTTAACAACCACATCACATTGCTGACTAATGTTCAGTGTATGGTCTACTAAGACCCCTAGATCCTTTTCGCACATACTACTGCCAAGACAAGTCTCCCCCATCCTATAATTATGCATTTGTTTTTCCTACCTAAGTGGAGAACTTTACATTTACCCACATTGAAATTCATTACATTTCTTTTAGCCCAGTTTTCCAGCCTGTCAAGATCATCCTGTATCCTGACTCTGTCTTCTACTGTATTTGCTACCCCTCCCAATTTAGTATCATCTGCAAATTTAATAAACACTCCCTCTATCCCTTCATCCAAGTCATTGATAAAGATGTTGAACAAAACAGGTCCCAGGACAGATCCTTGAGGCACTCCACTTGTCACTGCTCTCCAAGAAGACAAGGAACCAATCACAAGCACTCTTTGGTTGCAATCTGTCAACCAGTTACAGATCCACCTAACAGTCATAGGATCCAAACCACATTTTACCAATTTGTCAACAAGAATATTATGTGGAACTTTTATCAAAAGCCGTACTGAAATCAAGATAAACTATGTCTACAGCATTCCCCTAATCCAACAAGATAGTAACTTTCTCAAAAAAAGAGAGATAAGGTTAGTCTGACATGACTTGTTCTTGAGAAACCCATGTTGGCTCTTAGTAATCACAGCCGTGCTTTCTAAATGCTCAAGGGCTGTCTGTTTGATGATTTGTTCTAAAACTTTCCCAGGTATAGACCACAAGCTGATGGGTCGGTAGTTACCGGGATCCTCCTTTTCCCCCTTCTTGAAGATGGGGACAACATTTGCCCGCCTCCAATCTTCTGGCACCTCACCTGTTCTCCAAGAATTCTCAAAAATAATGGACAGAGGCTCAGAAATTGCATCCGTGAGTTCTTTTAGTACCCTTGGATGTAGTTCATCTGGCCCCGAGGACTTAGTTTCAGTTAAAGAAACTAGGTGTTTATGTACTACCCCTAGGCGGATCCTAGGTTGTAACACCCTTCTCTCATCATGTGATCTGTTTCTGCCATATTGAGCACTGTTTCCCTTGCAAGAGAAGACTGAGGGAAATGCTTACCTTTGAATCCTTGGCATAATAAAGAGTACGGCCCCGAAGTTTGAAGTAACGTTTCTTCCACCTCTGAAAAGAACTGGTTTGCTTCAACAGTAATCCTTCCTTTATACTGGTCTGGAGAAAAGGAGAAAACAATATTAAAATGCAAACACATACATAATGTAGCAACACTGTATATATAGTGCCATTTCCTCTGAAGGTCATTTGCCGGTAGGACCTCAGAAGAACAGGCTCCTTGCCTATAACAAATGTTCTTTTGTTAAACATGGGATTCCTTCCCCTGCACAGGGTATCCTCCGTCACCTTCTATGGCTAAGCAAACTTTTTCGATGCCAGCCCACTTTATGGAGGAATGGGAGTCACAGCACACGCCCCAAGAGCTCCGTCTGTCTGCCCAGCTCTTTCCTAACAGAAGGCTCTGAGCATGCACCTGTTGCAGAGGAAAAGGATGGTCCACGCAAGTAGGTCAGCTACAGGGAAGCAACCATTTCCATCTTCTTTGTGCCATTTCTGTACAGGCACGTCTACAGGGGGGAAATCAGCAAGCTGGTTCACCAGGAGGCAGGAATATGTGAAGTCATATAATGGCAGGGACCACTGAAGGCTGACCTGATCCAGTTCTCAAATCTAGGGTGCCGTGTTTTACGGAGTGGGTGAGGGAAGAACCAACTGAAGCCTTCAGAGAATTAACTTATCAATGATTGGGCAAAAAGATAGATCAAGGTGGTCAGCCGTGTTGGTCTGAAGCAACAGAACAAGGCTAGGGTCCAGCGGCTCCTTTAAGACCAACCAAGTCACGCGCAGACGAAAGCTCACACCTTGAATAAAACTCTGTTGGGCAAAAAGAGAACAGATAGCCAAAGGAGGGCATCATACCCACAGGGCCATGAGTTGTTTTCTAAGGGATATGAGACTTAGTCCCTAAGAGTAAAGAAGAAAGAAATATTCCAAAGGTGAATGAACTGAACAGTAGAACAATGCTTGAGTCCATTGATACCTTTAAGACCAACAAAGGTGCCACTGAACTCAAACTTTGTTCTACTGCTTCAGACCAACACAACTACCCACCTGAGTTTAACTCACTCAGTGGCCTGGGAACTACATTTGGCTCTTCTGAGCATTGTTCCCCAATGTGGTGCCTTCCCCATGTTTCAGGAAAGCAGGCAAGCTTGTAGTTGGAGGGCGGTTTCCACCTGGAATCAGCTGCCGCTGCGAGCCTACTTGAGGTACGGGCCTCATACCCAGATGGAAGTGGATGTAGGTCTTTTGGATGATGATCACAGTGAATGTGGCTTTCTGCAAGCTGCGGAGTGAGCATCACTGGTTTAATGGATCCCAACCGAGAGATTCAGCAAGCACACAAAAATGTTTCCCGCCAAGAAGAATAAAAATGGTATGTGGATGGCTTCCTTGAGTTTAGGAGCACTTCCTGAAGTGATCATGATTGTTTTTGCATGGCTTTACCCACCATAAGTCCGGCAACCAGTGCTGACCTATCCAGTAGGCACAGTGCCTAGGGCCCGTGATATTTTTCGGAGCCCACAAAAATGTTTTCGTTTCTTCTAAAATCAGAAGGAAAAGATTGATTTTTAAGATCAAAGAAAATACTTTTTTCTCATTTAAGAAAAAAATGAAGTTTTAGGGCCCATGAAAATCAATTACATTTTGCCTAAAAGGGGGGGGGGGATAAAATGTTAAAGTATTTAAAGTTATCTCAAAAATAACTGTTCATATTGATATTATTGTGGTGGGAGGGGGCCATGAGGGGGAAAGTGCCCAGGGCCCATAGAAGACAACATGGGGCTATTTCTGCATCTAGAGTATCCTGCCCCAATCCTCCGACGGCATATGGAGCAGGAGGTGAACGTGGGTTCCTCTGGCCCAGCAGGACAAAGTGGGAGAGGCCAACTTAGGGGTAGCCAGATGCTGTGCTCTGTTCTCAGAATGAGAGGAAATATCTCTAGGAAGTACGTCATTCAGGAGATCAGGAAGGCATCCTCAAAGAAGTGGCATCCTCGCCACTCTCTGCTGTAGTATCTAGCCTCACTTGGCTTTGGCTACTAAGCGAACAGGCCTACAGAGTCCCACTGAACGATCAGCTCTAACCAGACTACAATACAAGTGTGATCTGGTACCATATACATCTTTCTGATAACTGACAGGCCAGAGCAGAACATATTTTAGAGCCTGTCCCCCTCTTGTTCATATCATGGCTGAGTCCTCTGTAGCTGTCTGGACCACTTTGCCCCCCCTAGGAAGGCCCTCAGAGATTCATACACTGAGAGGAGCTCAAGGACATCTATGAGGATACCTCAACTATTGTGGAAACAGGGGACTTTCGGCGCTGCGGCGCTGCGCATGAGCGTGTTTCCCGGGAGCTCCCGGAGACGCCGACTCCCATGCGCTCTTTCGGAGCCCCCCGAAGTTCAGGGTCGCTCCGCTTGGTTCTCCTGGAGGGAGACCAAGAGTAGGAGGCTTTTCCGGCCCCCCCTTTTTTCCCTGGCAAGGACGGGGGGGTGATCGGCTTGCCTCGAAGCGGGAGCGCTGGGCAGAACGGGAACATGGTCGCCATGTTTCCCAACTAGCAGCTGCCAGCCGTGTTTTTAAACAGTCTTTTTTGTTTGTTGAAGGACACTTTCCATGTATATTTGAAGGATATTTGCAGTCTACAACTGGATTGAACTAAAACGCTACATTGATACCCATTTTGTGGACTTTCCCTAAGTATTAAGAGAAGCGGCCGGGAAATGTTTTTTGGGAACTGAGATTGAAAGCGATGGCTGGGGGAAGAAATTGTGCTTGCTGGGAATAACTCTACCGTGCTAAGAACTGAAACACAACTTAAAAGGTCTATGGGAATGCGTATTGCTTATTTGTGACGATTGTGGGGAAGAAAGTGGCTTTAAAAGTACGAAAAAAAATTGAGGTTGCCGTTGTTTGTAACCAGATACAAGAGGCAGTAGTTGGTGAACTCAGGTCTGAACAGTTTCAAAAAAACTCTGCAAGAAGATCTGAAGAAAGCACTTAATTCAGTATGGGACAATCTTTTGAGGAATGTGCATTACCCCCCTGCCACAGAGGATAATAGCACAGAGCAAATAAAAGAGATACAAGAAAGGAATGAATTGCAGCTAGCTAAGCAGGAGAGAGAGCTGCAGGCAATCCAACATCCACCTACGGATGAAAAGTTAAATGAAGGGAGCTCACCGACCATGCTGGAACAAGGGGAAATTGAGAAAACAAGAGAAGGAAAGAGAATCTGTTTGGTAAACCCCCAGCGCAGAGGAAAAAAGGAGAAAAAAAGGAGAAACAAAGTGAAAAAAGGTTCAAAGGAAGCTATAGACCCTAGCATTAAACAAGTGGATTGGGACACAAAGCAACAGTGGAAAGACAAAGAGTATAAAGATCAGCGACACATGAATGAAACCAGAGAAAATCAAAGCAGAAAAGAAATCAAATACAATGGCATTGCAAAGTGTAATACTGACTGGAAATTAAATATAACAGTATTGTAATATCTAATAGTGACTGGAGGGTTTATGATGTAATTACATAGGATCAATTTAAATAATAAGACAAGACAGGCCTTTGTGAGTAGATATGCTTCTCAGTTCTGGAGGTAAATATTGTAAGTCTGTGCAACATGAGATTTTTGAACATGAGAAGTGAAGTTACTTGTCGGTTAGTGCCATGTACCATTCTGTTAGACCAATCAGAGCCAGGTTTTAAGGGTTTCTGGCACCACCCTCTCAACTGATTCTGTCCTCTCTATCACACCAGAGGCCATGAGGCTCCTTCAGAGAGAAGGAAATGCCTCAGAGTAGAGTCTTTAATAATTAATTACATGAAATGTCTGAATGAGAGTATCTGGAATTCTGAAGCAGGTTGCAATTAATGTGCTAATAGATAGATGAGAGAGAGAGAGAGAGAGAGAGAGAGAGAGAGAGAGAGAGAGAGAGATCCTTCCTTGTGGAGGGGCCATATGGTGGCTCAGAGGTTAAGAGGTCTGTAGTTCGGCAGTTCAAGATCCTAATGCTGCGCGATGGAGTGAGCTCCCGAACAAAGCAGTTCGAAAGCAAGAAATTGCAAGTAGATAAATAGGTACCACTTCGGTGGGAAGGTAACAGCATTCCGTGCGCCTCAGCATGTAGTCATGCTGGCCACATGACCACGGAAATGTCTTTGGACAGCGCTGGCTCTTCAGCTTGGAAACGGAGATGAGCGCTGCACCCTAGAATCGGATTCGACTATCTTTCGAGAAAGGGAAACCTTCACCTTTATATCCTTGTGGACATATACAAAGTCTGGGAAAGTGTTAGACAAGCATCTGTCTAAGTTACGTTATCCAAGCATTTACATCCCCACACTACCATGGACTCGCTGAGTGACCACGGGCAGGTCGCACCCTTCCGGTTCAATGTAGTTCACAGAATTATTGTGAAGATAAAATGAGGAAGGAAGAGCCATGGGTACCACCCTGAGGAATGGTGGGATAAGCATGCCCTAGACAGGCACATCCCTCCCAACACTATCAGAGGGAGTGAGGATTCTGGGGATGCTCTTGGACTTAACTCTGCTGTCTCAAAAGGCACAGTGGGATAGCTGCTAGGAGTGCCTTTTGTCTTTGAACCACTGGCTTCAAAAGCTCTCACCCCTTCTTAATTCTGCTGGTCTAAGCCAGAATGATTCGTGCTTCCATAATCTCGATATTGCACTACTGTCACACATTCTATTTTGGGCTGTCCTGGAAAGTAACTTGTGAAAAATTCTGACGCCCACCTTTTGGCTGGGGCCTCTTTTGCATGCATGTTTAACACCAAACTTCAACAAGTTGCTAATCTGTTTCTTAACACAATTCAAGGAGCTGGTTTTAAACTTCAAAACCCTTTATTTACCGGGAACCCGCACTCTCCAGTACAGACCTTTCTACCAAATACAGTCACCACCAACAGCTCCTCATTCTAGGAAATCCACTGGTCTCCATTAGATCCAGTCCTCAGTTATTAGGGAGAAGCCAGACAATGTCACTGCCAAACTGTTACAGTCCAGTGTTCTGCGTGTTATCCTCCTGTCTTTGTGCACACCTGATTTGTGGCTTTGAATGGAACAAGCCCATCTAATGTCAGAGTGGCAAAGATAGCCCTGACACAAAGAGTGGTTGGGTTGGCGATGTGGTTTGAAATACTCGTGGCTGTTGTGGCATTTAAAAGATGTCTCGCAATGCAGCCCCTTCCCTGACTATTTTTTAAAGAATCTGACATTGAAAAGTGTAGCTGAGATCAGGATGTTCAATTAAATGGCCCACTGCTTTAACCATAGAGAGGGGAAGCGCTTTGCTGTCACGCGGCAGGGCCTCCGTGCAGCTGAGGGTTTTAAGAACTTGGCACAGTGTCTCTAAATACGATGATAATTCCTGTGCTTTAAAAGGATCACTTTCATATAATTATTACTTCGCTTATTTATAGCCTGCCTGCCTTCCTCACTGAGACTCCCAGCAGGTTACAGGGCACAGGAAGGGGGGGGGGGATGTGATCATACAGTACAGGACACCAGATGAAGGATGCCAGAGAACAAGGAATACAAAACTGAACACTCATAAGGACATACAATGAGCCATGGAAATGAGCAGGATTTGGAATGCAAAATTAAATCATCCATGTGAACAGCCCCACCGGCCAGGCCGATGCAGAGTGTGCAAACACGATGCGGAGTGTGGGGGGATGGTAAAGGTGCAAGGTGACGCGGTGCCCCCTCCCCATTTCCAGACGGAAGCGCCCGTCTGCACCCTTTTGCGCCATGAGAGGTCAAATTCCACGGCAAGAACTTCTGTTCTGCACATTTTGCAGGACGAGAGCGGTGCTGCAGGAGCCTCCTGGATCTCCTCGGGCAGAGGCTGTTCCACCAGGTGGGAGCCACCGCCACCCAGGATGCGTGGGAGAGGGCCGTTGTCAGTCTTACCCATCCACACAAAGGGAACTTCAAGAGGTTCTGTTCAGACAAGCAACACTGTCGCGGCGATGACTGTCGGAAAGGCGGGCCCCGTAGAGAGACGGCTCCTAGGCCACGAAGGGCCTTGCAGGTGACAACCGGGACCGCCCCTGAACTGAGCCCACTCCATCTCTGTCTATGCAGCTTTTAAAAAACTGGAATTTCAGACCTCTTAAACCCTGAACTGCTTGGATATAAGGTACAGCAAAATCAAAAGCCACAAAGATTCAGAAACATCAATGCATTCCTTCTTGTATCTGACAAAGGGGGCTTTGACTCTCGAAGGTTTATACCCAAGAATTCATGTTGGACTCAAATCTAGCTCTCAAAACATCAGTGGTTTGTGTGAAAAGTGACTCACTCCTTTGCCAAAATACTTCTATTGAACAACAGTTTACAAAAAAAAACAAAAAACATGCTCAGCTGAGTGCTTTGAAGATAAAAAGGAATTATAGCAAATTACCACAAGGTGGTAGTACTGTTATACTAATAAGAACCCAACTGGCTCCTACATGGATCACTGTGTAGTGGTGTATTTGGTACTGTTAACAAAAACTACCATCTTATTTTTTATTTTATTTATTTGTGTTTATTTTGTTCGATTTATATCCCGCCCGCCCTGCATAGCAGGCTCAGGGCAGATACTGTGGGCTACATCTGCTACACATAACCACACTTTCTATTCCAAAACTCATTAAAAGGCTGCAGGACCTGTCTGAGATGAAATCCCAAGGAGAAAGAAAAGAAAACTTAGAGAAGTCTATCTTCAAGAGCATCTCTTCCATCTGAAAAATAGTTTCAAGGAAATTAAAAAGAACAGTAGAATATAATTATTTCTGAATGCAACAAAAGTTTTAGTATTCATCAAAACAAAACAACTCTTTTTTCAATCTCAAGCACATGTTCAAATATGTTTCCAAATTTGTGTGCAAATTGACCTTATTTTTGTTTTGTTTTTTTAAGAAATGTGAAAGGCCAAATATTATCCAAATATGGCTGAAAGATATATTATTTGGCAGGGACATAGATTTATCAATCTACCCTCTGATTTCAGCAACATTACAGTATAACTGCTTTCCAGCCTTTTTCTAAATTAACCATTTCTATGAAGTTCTATCCATTTAAAAAAAGTTTGCCAACAAATATGACTATTCGAATGAAGAATATGGGTCGCATACACTCTCTTCTTCTACTCCCCCCCCCCTTTCCAAACTGTCTAATAAAAATACAGGAACTTGTAAATTTATTATTTAATAATAAACTGGCTGGCTTCTACCACCATAGACAAGGCAAAGATCTTACATACATGGGGAACTCTCCAGGAAAAATATGTTTCTATAAATTAACCAAAAGTTAAAAACTGGCACAAAGTGGACCTAAAATGTTCTGTGAGGGAAGGAATGTCAAAAGCTCAAGGAAAAGGACGGGCAGTACAAAACCAGCCTGCTCAATCACACGAAAAAGAAGAATCGTGAAGTCAATGGGAAGCATGGATTTCCCAACTGTTTCCCCCTCCCACAATTCCTCACGGCCCCCAACGTGGCACACAGGATGCTAAACTGGCACCTGACTGCATCAGAGTCAGGTTGGAGGAAACTGTAACCTTGCCCTGCTCTCCAGGCGGGAGGCAAGCCCCAGCAACAACAGGGTCCCACAGCAGTGGCTCTTGGGTCACAGTCCAAAGTCAGAATTCAGGGTCAGGTAACACAACCAGACGGGCGAAATCCAGAAGCAGGATCGGGCAATGTAGTCCAGGGGCAAGAGTCCATTGGCAATCCAAGGCTGAGGGCCACAAGGTCCCAAGCGTCAGCAACCAGAGGGTCAAGGCAGCTGGTGGGATGGTCAACAGGGCTACAGACAAGCTGATCCCATAAATGACTCCAGCCTCACTACAGAGTTTCCCTACTTGCTGGGTCCCGCATTAGGGTCCCTCCACAAACTGAGTCAGCTCCTTTACTCATGAGGAGCAATGCTCTCTCTAAGCTGTGGAGTCTTGTGAGCAAAAATTCTACTTTGTGAGCTCCTGCCATCAAAGTTTGTTTTTTTTTAAGTACCCAAGGGTACACTTTTATTGTTTTCCATTATACACTACAAACATATATAGAAACCAACAACATAAAACTACCACTAACAAACATAAAACATATAACAGGAGGCATATTCCATCTTCTATCCTTCAATTATCTAATTATTACATTTCAGATCTCATTATCTATTTTGCTAGCTT